CTTCAATCAGGACGAAAAAGTACATGCGCAGCCACAACAAGTTCTCGCAACGCTTTGTTTTCTTTGGATAAAGATCATGGACGACGACGACGAGGCCGCCGGCGACGACGAGCCGGACCAGGAGGCACCCGTGTTCTCCCTTCACGCGGTGGCCGGCGTTCCCAGTGGCAACACGCTGCTGCTCCGCGTCACTCTGGGTGCCGCCTCCCTCATCGCGCTCGTCGACACCGGGTCCAGCCACAACTTCATTGGGGAGGCCGCGGCGTCGCGCACGGGTCTCCCCGTCCAGCCGCGCCCTCGCCTCACCGCCACGGTAGCCAACGGCGAGAAAGTCCCTTGCCCCGGCGTCCTCCGTCGCGCGGAAATCCACATCGACGGCTTGGCGTTCCACGTCGACTTGTATGTGATGCCCCTGGCGGGGTATGATATGGTCCTGGGCACCCAGTGGATGGTCACCTTGGGTCGCATTGCCTGGGACTTTTCGGTAGGGACCATGGCATTCCAGCGGCTGGGCCGCACCGTCTGCTGGCGCGGGCTTGAGCAGATGGCCGACCAGGGCGCGCCTGGCCCCATGACGGCGGGCCTGGACATGCGTCCGGCACCGTCTGTGGAGACCACGGCGCGCACGCCGCCCTCCGGAGCACCGGTCGAGGCGCGACCGCTGCTCGACGCCGTCCTGTCCTCTTTCGGCGACGTCTTTGAGGAGCCTCGCGGGCTGCCACCACAGCGTGGCCGCGACCACGCCATTCACCTCCTGCCGGGCAACGCACCAGTGGCCGTCCGCCCGTACCGCTACCCGGTCGCCCACAAGGATGAATTGGAGCGGCAGTGCGCCGCTATGATGGAGCAAGGACTCATCCGCCGCAGCATGTCGGCGTTCTCCTCTCCAGTCCTCCTCGTTAAGAAAGCTGACGGGTCCTGGCGGTTCTGCGTCGACTACAGAGCCCTCAACGCCATCACCGTCAAGGACGCGTACCCAATCCCGGTGGTCGACGAACTGTTGGACGAACTGCACGGCGCCCGATTCTTCACCAAGCTGGACCTGCGCTCAGGCTACCACCAGGTCCGCATGCACCCCGACGACATCGCCACGACAACGTTCCGCACACATGACGGCCTCTACGAGTTCCTTGTGATGCCGTTCGGGTTGTGCAATGCCCCAGCGACGTTCCAGGCGCTCATGAACGACATTCTGCGCGTCTTCCTCCGCCGGTTCGTCCTTGTGTTTTTCGATGACATCCTCATCTACAGCTCCACATGGGCGGACCACTTGCGCCATCTGCGAGCCGTCCTCCTCATCCTGCGACAGCACCGACTTTTCGTCAAGCGCTCTAAGTGCGCTTTCGGCGTCGACTCCATCTCCTACTTGGGCCACATCATCAGCGCGGCCGGCGTCGCCATGGATCCCGCCAAGGTGCAGGCCGTCTTGGACTGGCCGCAGCCGCGTTCAGCACGTGCAGTCCGCGGATTCCTCGGTCTCGTGGGCTACTACCGTAAATTCGTCCACGACTACGGCCTCATCGCCGCGCCCCTCACGGCGCTCACCAAGAAAGACGGGTTCAGCTGGTGTGAGGAGGCCGCTGCTGCGTTCCAAGCTCTCAAGCAGGCCGTCACCTCCGCCCCCGTACTCGCCCTCCCGGACTTCGACAAGTCGTTCATCGTCGAGTGCGACGCATCCACGTACGGGTTCGGCGCCGTGCTCCTGCAGGACAAGCACCCGCTGGATTTCTTTAGCCGGCCTGTGGCGCCTCGCCATCGCGCCCTCGCCGCCTACGAGCGGGAGTTGATCGGCCTCGTCCTCGCCATTCGCCACTGGAGGCCGTACCTTTGGGGGCGCCGCTTTGTGGTGCGCACCGACCACTTCAGCCTCAAGTACCTGCTCGACCAACGCCTGGTGACCATGCCGCAACACCACTGGGTGGGCAAGCTCCTCGGTTTCGACTTCGCCGTCGAGTATAAGCCGGGCGCCTCCAACACGGTGGCCGACGCTCTGTCCCGCCGCGACACCGAGGACAGTGCTGTGTTGGCTGTCTCCGCTCCCCGCTTCGACTACATCAGTCGCCTGCGCCAAGCCCAGTTCACGGACCCCGCGCTCATGGCCATCCGCGATGCGATCCTGGTGGGCTCACAGGGAGCGCCGTGGGGACTGTGTGACGACTTGGTCACGTTCGGCTCCAGGCTCTACATCCTGCCATCATCCTCGCTCCTACAGGAGGTGCTCGCTGCCGTACACGAGGACGGCCATGAGGGTGTGCAGCGCACGCTGCATCGGCTTCGCCGCGACTTTCACTTTCCCAACATGCGTCGCCTGGTGCAGGACTTCATCAGTGCCTGTGACACGTGCCAGCGGTACAAGTCCGAGCACCTCCACCCTGCCGGACTCCTTTTGCCACTGCCGGTGCCCACGGCAATCTGGAGCGACCTCGGCTTGGACTTCGTGGAAGCCCTGCCCCGTGTGGGAGGGAAGTCCGTGATCCTGACGGTGGTGGACCGCTTCAGCAAATATTGCCATTTCATCCCGTTAGCTCACCCCTACACTGCAGAATCCGTCGCGCAGGCGTTCTTCAAGGAGATTGTGCGTCTCCATGGTGTTCCCCAGTCCTTGGTCTCCGACCGGGATGTCGTCTTTACCTCAACATTCTGGAGGGAACTAATGAGGCTCCTGGGCACCAAGTTGCACATGACGACTGCCTTCCACCCGCAGTCTAATGGCCAAACCGAGGCGGCTAATCGGGTCATCGTCATGTACCTTCGTTGCTTCACCGGCGATCGTCCCCGCCAATGGATCCGCTGGCTCCCATGGGCGGAGTACGTCTACAACACCACCTACCAGACGTCGTTGCGGGACACGCCCTTCGGTGGTGGTCTACGGCCGCGACCTCCTACTATCCGGTCTTATGAACCGGGTGAGACCTGTGGTGGCGGCCGTCGCCGCGTAACATGGCGGACGAGGACGAGTTCTTGGCGATGTTCGCTATCGCTGGAGCAAAGCGCAGCGATCCGTCCACAAGAAGTACTACGACCACGGCACCGTCCGATCCGCTTATGCCGTCGGCGACCTTTGTGCTTCTTCGACTCATTATCGCCAGCGCACCAGCCTCCCGCCTCAGGTCGGCAAAGGGCAAACCGAAGCCCGCTTCTATGGGCCGTATCACGTCGCCGAGATCATCAACCCCGTCGCGGTCCGTCTCGAGCTGCCCCATGAGCCAAGCCGCATGATGTGTTCCATGTGGGCCTCCTCAAGAAATTGTCGGGCCGGTGCCGCTACCGCTTCCACCCGCCTTGCCCGACATCCACCATGGCGCCGTGCAACCTGAACGAGAGCTCGTCGTGCGCGCCACGCCTCGCCTCGGGCGCTCACCAAGTGCTCGTCCAGTGGAAAGGAGAACCAGCGGCTTCAGCAACGTGGGAGGACATCGGCTCCTTTCGCGAGCGGTACCCGGCGTTCCAGCTCGAGGACGATCTGGCTCTCGAGGGGCGGAGAGATGTCATGTGGGGCCTGACATACTCTAGGCGCCGGCGTGCCAGGGACGTGCGGCGAGCAGCCGAACGCACAGAACGCGCGCGCACGCCAGACGCCCAGGCCGGACCAGCTAGCAGTGGCTGAGAGGAAGCAGAGGATTAGTTGCTATTTCTATTCATCAGGAAGCAGAGGATTAGTTGCTATTTCTATTCAGTAGTTACTATTTTTATTCCTAAATTGTTGGAGCGCATGGCGCTGGTTGGTTTGGGCCTCAGGCCATTTATATTGTACTCGGTGACAGCTGGTGAGGGAAAAGAAAAAGTATTATCCCTAATCTCTTTCTCTCATCTAAACCAAGCCTGCAGCGGAGAGAAAAACCTCATTGAAGAAGACAGATCGCGGCTACGAACTACGTAGCCGAGGCCCAGCCACCCAGGACCCGAGGTCCTTGACAGTAGTCCTTACGCCGGCCAGTCCGGCACTTCCATTCGTATTTATTGAGATGACACGTCTACAGAAATAATAATAGAGCACAAAGATTATGCGAGAGACCGGAGATAAGTTTCATTCAGCTCAAACTCAAAGTGAATAGCCCATTGGAAACAAAGTGAGATTTATTTTACTAAGCGTTTTGTGGCATAGACTGCCGTCCCAGACGAGCACCGTTTGCAACGATTGGTGCTCTGTCTTCTCTTCAGTTCAATAGCAGATGCGTATCAACCTTAGTTCTTATCTTCCTCCCTGTCTTTTTTTTTAATCTGCTTCTTCTTATCTTCTTGGTTCAAGAAGCAAGTAACAATTCAGACCAGTTTGATAAAGGTAGCTGATACTAGACTTATCATTGATGAATCAATGTTTCATGTTCGTAATGGACGATCATATATGTATGTCTGTGAGTGTTTGGACTTGGTCATGAATGAGTCTATTTGTACGAGAAACGTGCACAATGATGTTACTTTTGTATTAAATTACAACCAAATGGCCTTTTGTTTTTTTAAATGAATTTAAATGATCTCGCCGAACCATCGGTCGCTAAAAGTATTTATAATGTCAAATTGTCTGTTCCTATAGAGTACTGGCAGGATATCTGTCTCTATAGAGTACTGGCAGACTATCTGTAAGTGTTGTCTGACGCTAAAGGTTTCTAGCGTCGGCACTTAGAGAAGTATGTCGCTATAACTTTTTAGCGACTGATTATTTGTCACTATATCCACTTTTAGCGTCAGATCGTACACGTCAATCTTGGTGTCGTGGTGCAGTGAACGTTGATGTTATTTGATTTCATACCAGGTGGGGACTCTCTCCCCAGTCCCCACATTGAATTATAAATAAAAAAAAATCTTGTGTTAAAGGTCACATTTTATTTGCCTCTGTGTCTCTGTGCAAGGGCGTTCACGTCGGAGTTCCTGCTCTTCTCGTACCACTCCGCGACCCACACAGGGTTGGAGGGGTACTACCACCACCTCCTCGTCATGCTGATTGGCCTCTGCATCCTCTCCGCACCGTCCTCGGCGCGCTCATCGCGTTGCATGTTTGCATGCTCCCGGACGGGTGCGTCCGAGACTGCAGCAGCCGCGCCGCGGAGGAGCGTGCCGAGCAGCTGGCCAAATTCCAGCTGTTCGGGGCCGTGTTCCTCGCCTTCATCTACGTGCTTGGGTGCTACACCGTTGCCGCGGCGAGGTACGGGCACCTGGACCTGGCGGCGGTGCATGACAAGCATGTCTCTGCCTTGGAGTTGGACTCCCGTGGCGGCGGTGGCCACTGCGTTGAGGAGTGCCTCTAATGAGTACGTATCTGCTGCTCTGTTCTTGCCTTGGTATACTCAGTAGCAAGTGCAAAACATGGTGTGATATGTTGTTCCTAGTGTGGTCAATTGTGACCGGCGGTTAAAATGAAACTTTGCGAATCAAGAAAAGTTTCAAATAGAAAATAGTAGATGGATCAAATGTTTTGCCGCCTTTGCTGATGCTTCATCATACAAGTCAGTGCCTCCCTCCTTTCTGAAGAGTGAAGAGAAGTAGGAAACAGACAAAAACCGGCTGAAATTCAGATAGATCAGAAATTGTTTTGGTGATTCACAATCAGATGTTTCATCCAATCGTATCAGCAGATAGGTACTCATGACACAACAGTATCAGTGCTAGCTCAAGAAGGCCTGCAACACACAACTGGAGTCTCAAACTGCAAATGAAAACTAAAGATTACAGTGTCTTCCTTGACAACTGAAAATGACGTGTCTTCCTTGGCAACCCCTTGCAAGCAATTTGTGCGCCATCATTTCGACCTGAACCTAATGAACCATAGTCTAACGAGTTACGAAATTTCCTCTCTTTGAGTTCTGAACATTTGAACTTGCAATGCAACGCCATTAACAGTTTGCTGCTTGATGACCATCTCTTCCTGCCACCACTAGAATCCTCTGCACCATGTCCATTGGTGACCTCCTTGGCTGCTTCATTCATGATGCCCAAAGTTTAAAACAAATTAACGATTGACTGTCATGCAGCGCATTATTGGTATTAGTGTCATACCAATTGTTGAATGTCAACAAGATATACCATACATTAGTGAATGCCTATAAGATTTTTCTGGAACTAATTTCTTGTATTTCCTACGCAAACATTTTGTTATCAGTATATATAACCTGTAGAGTCATTTTCGCTTTTCAGTTCTCCTAAAACAAGGAAAGAACAGTGTTTTCTGTACAGAAGGCGAGATTATTACTACTTTCAGAATATACAAGTCTATATTACATTATCATAGTTTACTAAAATAACAATAGGAAGACAACATTTCCTTGGCCAAATAAATCACTAAATAAAACATTAACATCACTGTTGAGAAGATATACTGGTAGAATAATTAAGGTAGGGTCCTTCATCGAAATTATAAGTATTACCTGTGCAATGCAATATTGACCTACTTGCAGGGTCAGGGGATGTTGGTACTGTCCACGGGTGAGTATTTTAATTCCTCCGATTTGGCACTCAACACTGTACAGTATCTTGAAATACTGTGTCTGATCTAGTCCATCAGACTTCCAATTCCTGAGAAGTAAAGAAGGTGAAAAAAAAATGTCAGAAGAAAGGGGAAAAGCAGTGAAGCAAGAACAGCTAGAGACGAAACAGGGGACATTTACATCAGAGGAAAGGCGAAAAGGAGAACAGGTGTACCTTCATCTTCATCAGTGCATGATTCATCCCTGATCCTGATCACAGGCTTTGCTTCCTCCACCTCCTCGGTGCTCGGCACATCCTGATCAGAACCGAACAGTGACAGCAGGTCCCTGTCTCTTCCTCAAGCCCATGTCGAAACCACCGATGATTTCTCTCATCTTGAGCACAGCAAAGAACTGCAACAACTCAAGATCTGCGAGCCTTGGCATATAGTTCATATCCGAAAATGAGAAGAAAAGAAGGATATTTAGGTTTGAAGAAAGGGGAAAAGGAGATACGGGAGAAGTTATAAGCAGAGCATAAGCCTCATCTACATCAGAAGTTGTTTACCTCAATGGTGGGATGATTGGGATGGACTTCAATCACGTGCCTCACCGCAGCCATTGCTTCCTCCACCTACTGCTCGCCGGCGCCTCCATATTGCAACCAAACTTTGACGCGCTGCAGCGACGGCAGGTTGCCCGGGCCCAAGTCGAAACTGCCGTTGATTTCTCTCATCCACTGCACTTGGAAGTCAAACACAAGATCCACGAGCCTTGGCATGGCTCCATGCTGAAACACCACAGGCTCTCCGAATCTCCACAACCTGCAGAGCACGAGGCATGGGAACGAGCAAGCACCGACAACGAAGCTCCCATGGATTCCAAAATCTTTATGGTCCACACGCAGATCTAGATAGCCGAGAGCAGGCAACCTCCCAAGGATTTCGAGATCCTCCTGCTGCAGCCGCTTCACTCTGATCTGGAGGAAGGAGAGGCTCAGAAGGAGGGAGGGATTCACCTTCAACCAAGCAGGCAGCGTAGCAAACCAGAAATAGATGCCTATTACTATTTTCCGGAGGTTTTCAGGGGCGGTGACGACCCAACCGTCCAAGTTGTATTCCCTATTATCGGCGGTTATTCTTAGACTCCGGATTTTCTGGAGCTTGTTTAGGCACTCCCTATTTCTGGAGCTTGTTATTCTTAGCATCTTCCCTTTACCATCGATGCATAGACTCCTAGCTCTTCAAGGGCTATCAAGCTCCCTATCCCTTCTGGCACTTTTGTCCTTCCACTTATGCGTAGGCACATCAATTGTGTTAGCCGAACAATACTCGACGGCAAACTAGGAATGCTGTCTACATATAACATTTGTAGAAAATGTAGGTTACTGATTTCTTCAGGGAGCTGATCAATCTCTGTGCCTCTTAGACCTAGGTACCTCAAATGAAGTAAATTACCAAGATACTTAAGGCTGTTGCTTTGTGAAAGATCACATCCTTCTAAATCCAGTACACGCAAAATGTTGAAGTTCTCAAGTACTGTTGGTATGTAGTTAATAGCGGATCCAAAGACAATAACTGACCTCACATGACGCTCTTTGCTCAATGTAGCCTCAGGTTTACCATGACTAGCCTTGCAATTTTGAAGGGATAGCCTTCGAACCCTTTTTGATTCAGATGATTGATCCATATTGTTCTGTATAGTGACAAAGTTTTCTTCACCTGACGAGGAACAGATAAGATCAAGCACCATATCATGTACACGGCAATATTCTATCATGCCACTACATATGCCATGCATGGGTTGGATCATGCTTCTATTTATGAGCTCCTTGAGGTAACCCTCCCCTATTTCAAATAAGCTCTTGTGTTGCTTTTCATATTGGATAAAACCTTCAGCTATCCACAACCATATCAAATGATCTTTTTTTATATCATAATCTTCTAGAAACATACTTAAATATAACAAGTCCTTAGATGAGATGGCATATCATAATAGCTGAGTGACAAAACCTTTCTCATATTCTTTACATTATTATTCTTCTCTAGTCCATCACCAATAGATTTGCACACATCATACCACTCCAATTTGTTTGTTTCTTTACTAGCCAGCAAACTCGCGATCGTGCTAATAGCTAAGGGAACACCATCACATTTCTTTAGTATTCTATTTGACACTTCTTCTAGCTGTTCATCGGGGCATTTGTCTGTCTTCTTTCCCAAATATTCTTCCATACATTAATATCCTAGAGTTCTCCAGAGAAAGGGGCTTCATCTTGTAAGGACCACCAATTTCTTTAGCAATTGCGAAAATACGAGTAGTTGTGATGATCCTATATTCAACACTGTCATCGGGCAGAGCACATCTGATCATTTCCCAGTCTGTGATTTTCCATATGTCATCAATAATAACTAAGTACCTGCACATATTGAACAACAAAAGGCCATGTATCATATACGTGACTAAGCAAAATGAGAAAGAAAATTCTATTCTTTCTTATGTGGGTTGTGCATGTTATATAACTGAGGGATAAAAGGTTTATTAATCGGTATTCGGTACCACAATCATCAGCAAGGGGAAAGAAGGTCTGTAAAAGCATCAAGGCAGCCTGCCTACTGTCTACCATATTGATCTTTGCAAGCCTTCTTCTACACGTATGTGAGCCATGCAAAGCAATAGGTGGGCTCGACATGCTAGCAAATAGTAAGTAGCCCAATAACACAACTTTTCCATTCTTGTGTTTTCTTTTCTTTTCCATTTAGAAACATGTGAATGATTACTTGAGGATCATGATCACTTAAAAGTTACTATATATTAGTTCCAAAAGAATTTAACATATATTAGGCTAATCCTTAAATTCTTCTTTCAAAAATTCTGCAATCTTATTTTCTTTGGAAAAAGTCTACTTAACCCCCCACCTTTCATACATGGTCTACTTCACTCCCCAACTATGAAACCATATGTTTTACCCCCTGAACTTTTCAAAACCGTCTATTTTACCCCCCGGGCGGTTTCTGACAGTGGGTTTGCTACAGTAACAACGTGTTTGCTACAATAACGGTGGGTTTGCTACTGTCCCGGTGGGTTTGAATTTTTTTTTTATTTTCGGTGAATTTTTGAAAAATCATAGTAAATCATAGAAAAATTATAAAATGAAAAATATAATTTTATTGGACTCCACATGAGTAGATCTACACAGTGAATATATAATACGGTATGCTTTAGTACAAAATTTTTACTGTAGTATTAGATTAATTGGAAAATCTAATTTTATCTGTAATTAATTGGAATAATTCATAGCTGCAGCTTCTATGGTCCAATTGTGGTAAAATTTTTATGGTACGCTAATTATTGTATGCTTGAACTATAGTAAAAATTTCGTACTCATTGGACTATGTATAACTTAGTTATAGATAAATTCTAATTAATTACAGAAAAAATTGGATTTTCCAATTAATCTAAAGCTACAAAAAAAAAATTGTACTAAAGCATACCGTATTATATATTCACTGTGTAGATCTACTCATGTGGAGTCCAATAAAATTAGAATTTTTATTTTATGATTTTTCTATGATTTTTCAAAAATTCACCGAAAATAAAAAAAAAAGAAAATTCAAACCCACCGGCACTGTAGCAAAATCGCTGTCAAAAAACCGCCCGGGGGGAGGGGTAAAATAGACGGTTTTGGAAAGTTAAGGGGGTAAAACAGACGGTTTCATAGTTGGGGGGTGAAGTAGACCATATATGAAAGGTGGGGGGTTAAGTAGACTTTTTCCTATTTTCTTTTGATTCAAAATTCTGAAGCTTTGCGCATCTGCTGTATTGATATTCAATAGACCTATGGAAATGGAAGTGGAGATTTTGTAATAGTGGATGACTGTTTTGTTTCCTCTGAGCACTGCATATTGCAGGTACATCTAGTGCTTTCTAAGTGAGAAAATTTTTAATTGGTTGTTTTCCCCCTAGCCAAGCCCCATCAAAAACAAAGCTTCTAGTTTTGCTTATACTGAGTTAATGAATTGGTCCTAAAAAAAAGGCTTCATCCGCTTCACAAAAAGGTCTCTGTTCCGCATCTCCAGAAGGATCCCTGGTTGTTCAAGATCATTACATGGACACACAGAAAAGAGCTCTAGAGTACTGAACCAAAGACTAGACAAGAGGCAATAATGTGCTCTTACTTGGAAGCAAAACTCAGTTAAAGAGATGGTAAAAAGTAAGACTTTTTTTCGTGTGACTTTGTTTGGGGTCATCTTCGTTCCGCTCCGTGCGATACCCCCGCTCCCCCCAATCCCGCAGCCCCTCGCTCTGCCCCAATCACGCTACCTCTCCCCTCGCTCTGCCCTTCTCTTCCGCAACCCCGGTCTCGATCCATCTCCACTCGCGCCTCCTCTCCCTCGCTCGCCCTTGCGCTCATCGCTGCGTCGCTGTCGTCCTCGCCGCGCCCGCCCCGTGCCGTCGTGCCGTGTTTCGCCAGAGAAATTGGGCAGGGCGCCTATTTGCACCATTGCACGTCGCCGACGCCGCCGTCGTGCCCGTTCCGTTCTGCTTCGCGCCCGCCGCCACACAAGGCCGAGCCACCGCCGCAAAGGCCATCCTTGACCTATGCCGCCGCCTACGCCCATGCCCGACCTGCACTGTCATTCCCTTCTCCTAGGGCGGAGCACTCGAGGAGGAGAAGATGCCGCCGCCAAGACGCAAGGTGCTCGAGCCTACATCGGGCCCTTCGCCGGCGACGAGCACCCAATAGGTATGCCCACTCTTCTCTTACCTCCGCCTCCTCTTCCTCGCGGCCCTCCCGACGCCGCTTCGCCTCCCTACCGCCGCCACGCCTGGCATCCGCCATGGTAGGCCTCAACGCAGCACCATAGCTCCTCTGCTACCCCGCTCCCTCGGACCCATGACTCCGCCTCACACGCTGCTCATCCAACAGCCCTATCGGCAGAATCTGGTGCCTTGGTACCGCACCGTGGGAGGAGACCAAGGTATCTTTGTCGATTCGCTAGAAAACTCGCCGTGGTTTGGGGTGCGGGCAGCTAATGACATCGAGTCGCCGACTACACCATTGCCAATCTATTCACTCTACAAACGATTCATTATCTTGCCCCATTGTTGCGTGTCTTGTCCCATTGTTGCAGTGAACCACGCTTTCCTAGAACCTCCACGTCGACGGCACCTCCGTTGGTTCCCACAAAGAAGCCGCAATTCGGGATCCGTGGCTCGGTTATATGGCAGCGCAGCAAGACGACAGAGGAGAGGCAAAGAAGGGGCTGCGGCATCAATCTCGTCATGACCTCAGACTTAGACGAGGCATCAAGAGGTTGCACTCTATGGTTTGCTCTAGGAGTCATGATTTGTTTTTCCAGTAAATCCACAAAATCAATTAGCTTGTAAGATGTTTCGTTTGGGCATCTGTTTTGCACAACAATTTTTGTGAAACAGTTCGTAAACTGCAATTCGGAGTAGATGCATTCAGTTTGTTTGGGACATGTAACTCAGTTAATATCTAGAACTGTGATTCTAATTAATTCATGGATTACATTACACGAAACAGACAAACTCTATCTACAGTCTATAGGTTGTTGTTATGAGAGTAGATTTATGTTACGAGAGCAGATTTGTGTTCCTGAAGTGCAAAAAGGGTGGTCGGGCTGCTACGCTTCCTTTGTTCTCTGTCCGAGCAGAATTAGTCTCTCAGATTATGCATTACGACGATTACCCAATGCTGATCGTGCATAGCTTAGCTGTAGCTTCACTGTCTATTTGCTTGATATTGCTGGCTACTGTAGAACTCTATATTTAGGGGCTTATGGCGTTACTGTCATGCAAATGGCAATGTTTCCTGAACTAGCTAGCTTGCTTGCATGACACCTACAGTACTTGCCATTTCTGTATGCCCATGCTGCCATGCATTATCCGTGAGGTGTATTACTTTTTGTTGTGGGTGTTGATTGTGCTTGTTGGTCAGTGCATTACTGTTTTATGTGGGTATTGATTGTGCTTGTTGGCCAATTGTATCAGGATCATGGTGTTTCTGGTGTGCAGGGGTGGGAGGTTGGCTTCGAAGAACATGTAACAAGTGTTGATATGAAAATAGGTTCCTGGAATAGTGGGTTCATTAGCAGTTTGGCACAACCTTGAAGCTGCAGAGGATTTCAAATGGCCTTTGTCATCAGCTCTCGACCTCCATTGAGTCAGAGGTATGCTGCTGTGCTGGTTTTCTTTGACATCGATTTCATCATGCTTTTAGTTTCGAAATTTCTGCAGTATCTGTAAAATGCGGTTTTTGAATGCTTGATTTAGGGTCCGTATCCCTAATTCTGGTAGGATGAGTTATAGGCGCTTATTTGTTTCCTCATTTTCTTCTAGCTTTCTTCAATCTGGTGAGCCTTCTGTATGAGGAAAAGAAACATTTTCTTCTAGCTTGATTTAGATGTCATGATTTTTTTTTGGGTGGCAATTCATTGCTACTGGTGGTGTTAGGACTTAGGAGTAGGATCCCTTTTGTAGATAAATGTAGGCACTTCAAGTGTATCGATATGCCTTATCAAATAAAAAGTGTATCGATATTTTTTCTTCTTATTTTTCTGTCCCATGGCCTGTGGTAGATGGGGGCAGATGTGTCCTGTTAATATTATATCTGCAGTAATGCTCTTAAGTGAAAGCATCCTTCTTGTCCTGCCATGTTCACTAATCTATGGAGTGTTTTTGTTTAGACTTTAGAGTATCTATGATGCAGTCTGCCCCTATGTGATCCTGGAAGTTTCCGTAGGATGCTTATCTTATATTCCTGAATTTTCAGCTCTACTTGAATGACAAGGTAAATAGAAGAAAATGTCATTATTCTAACTTGCGAAAAATGTCTTTGTTTGACATATTAGCTATTTGAAGCCATAAAAAACATATTAGTAGTTCAAATTGTATAACCAAACTATCAAAGGGTTTCGTATCTGAAACCCTTTGATAGTTGCTAATGGTCTTGGGTATAAACCTAGGGGATTGACTTGAAGCTTGTGTAATTTCGTTGCTACCAGTACTGAAATTCGGCTCGTCCCTTGTGGAAAAATTCAAAGGGTTTCGTATCCGAAGGTTATATCAACTATTTATTTTAGTAACTTCCAGCATTATTATTTATCCTTTCCTTTGATATGTAGTTATGTACATTCTGTGTTTGTTATCCCTTCTGGGTAATTCTGGCAACTAACTATTCTATTGTCATATCCGGCTAAATTTCCAGCATTTTTTTTATTGTATTTCCAACTTCCCCAAGGATGTTTGACAGCACTCAAAAAGCTCACTACATGGATGGGCACAGAGAAAAGTTTGTTAGGCTGGTTTATTTGTCTTAAGGACACTTTTACAATGTTTTTGCATCTATTCCTATTCTCTCTGGGAGTATAACATGTTTCATGTAGTATTGCCTATTTCCCTATACATATTGGAAATCCTATTTCTCAAAGATAATATTTCTGTACATCCATGGCTGCAGCAGTATTCCTCCTCCCCACGATTGCTCGGATTTGAGTCTCGAATTGCTTGTAGTTTTCCTTCTGGTCTCGTGCCTCGCTGCACTGCCCCTCCCTCTGATTTTTCTTTCCAAAAACAAATCTCTAAAAACAAAAAATAATCACATTACGTATTGGTTGTGGTGATTATCTCCTTTTCTATCATGCGTGATTCCTTCTTTCCCTGTAGCGAACAACTCTACAAAAGCGAGGTCGACGAGTAAGCATTCAGAAACCCGCAAAGATAGTATGGAGATGCGATAGAACTTATTTGTAGATTTATTGGCACACGAAAGAAATAGATATAGGAGATTTCTTCCTGCCAATATAAAACATTATCTTAGCCGCATCACGAAAAGGTCTATACATTAGAGTTTGTGAGCATGTGATGCCGCGCTCTACGTGACTGTGTTAATTTCATGAACTTTGTTTTTTGGATATTAAATATCACTTTAACGTCGGTATTTAATTTTATAGTATTGTTATCTTATCGTACAATCCGTGTGTTTTTAGTACAAAAGTTTAGTTGTCCTGTAGCAACGCACGGGCACGCTACCTAATGACATATAAAGGAAAAGAGATAAACTTGAGTGGCACTATACAGTCATATTTAGCAAACTTTGTAAACAAAAACTCAAAAAATAAATTAATGACTAGTTTTGTGATATATCCATACCTCTTATCCTGAAGGAATTTTCTTAGTTCGCCGATGATATCAATACTATCAGTTTTCTTCTCCGCGAATTGATAAAACATGTTCTTGAATAGTGTATTCATATCAGGAGTTTGAGACACCGATACAAAAGCTGAGCAATCAAAGCCTGTCCTAAGCTCTTCATACACAGCATTAGCAAGAGTTGTCTTTCCTAAACCACCAAATCCCACAATGGAAACTATCTTCTTTTGTTCCTTGGACGCTTCATTGCCTTCCATCAGAACCTTGATTACCTCATCCCTTGACTCCTCAATGCCAACTAGCTCCATCGGATTCTTATATCGAACCATTGCAACCAATGCAAGGGGATCAACTTTGACAGGCTTATCAACACTGTGGTTGATCTTGTACCGGCGGCGCCGGTCGTGCACCTCTACAACACGAATCTTGATATCACTTATGTCAATAGCAATCTTGCGGCGAATCTTGGGCTGCATCAAGGAACCAAGGGTTTTGTCGATGAACTTCTTGAAGCCATGCTTTTTGGCCAAATGATGGCCCTTGACTTGCACCATGAATGTGTCGATGTTGTCCTCTATGTCGTAGGACAACTCTCTCACATTCCTTGTCCAAACCTTATCCCCACTTGGAAGTTGGTCAGGTGGAGTCTTGGAGATATCCTCAAGGGCAGCCTTCATGCTCTCGAGCTCATCTTGGAGGAACATGATTCCCCCTTTCACCTCCTTTTACAGGTTGTACTCGTCGGCAAGCAGGTCACCGAGCTTGGGGAGGAGGCTTGGCAGTGCCCCAAGCACGACCTCCATTGATGCTCTTGGCGCAAAGCAAGGAGCACAGGTTGCTGGTGTGTGTGTGCTTGTGTGCTTGTTTTTTTAGAAAGGCGGCAAGAGATTTGCTGGATTTTTATTAGATGAGCAAAAAGGAACAAGAAAAAAGAATTACAACAAACAATGGGAGACCAAGCTTACCGCCACCATGGCACACCGGCCGGCAACCCAACTAGATGCCCACCTGGACGACAACTTAAAGTCTAGAAAAACACCCTAAAACCGAAAAAACACAAAACTAGGACTAACAAATCTGGTTGCCAACTGGTATTGCTCTATATCTTCCTTGCAAAGGAGTGCCACCTGACTAGGCTGCAGCAACTTGTTCTGAAATGTTATTCGATTCCTTTCCTTCCTTAAATTTCACCAAAAATAGATCATAATATCACTATTGGATTCAGGTTCTTTGCCGAGTGCCTGAGGCACTCGGCAAAGGCCAAATTGCACCCGGCAAAGCCTTTGCCGAGTGCGGCACTCGGCAAAGAACACACGGCAAAAAATTGATCGGCAAAGCCCTCTTTGTCGAGTGTCTTTTATCGGGCACTCGGCAAAGGCTTTGCCGAGAGCCTCGAAGGCACTCGGCAAAGAAAAGCGTCCGTCACGGCGCCGGCCCCGTTGACGGTCGTTTTGCCGAGTGCCAACCCTACAGGCACTCGGCAAAGATTTTTTATTTTTTTTAAAAAAAAATCTTTGCCGAATGCCCTCTATCCGGCCCGCGGCAAAGATGTTTTATTTTTTTTTCTAAATTTTTTTTGCCGAGTGCCCCCTTGCTGGCACTCGGCAAAGTTTGAATTTTTTTTTAAAAAAACATTCTTTGCCGAGTGCCCTCTGGCCGGCACTCGGCAAAGTTTGAATTTTTTTTAAAAAAAAATTCTTTGCCCAGTGCCATGGTCAATGGTTTTTCGAGCGTCCATTTTTTCAGCTTCGCCGAGTGCTGTGACCGTGGCACTCGGCAACGGGGTCCTTTGCCGAGTGCAACACTCGGCAAAGTGACCCAAAACGGCAATTTTAATTTTTTTTACATTCCATCATAACAAATAAATTCATACAAACATATATCACATATATATCTCATCCATCACATATATATCTCATCCATCCACACATCCATCCGCACATATCACATCCATCACAATATATATCACATATATAATAATAAGTGCTCAAGTCCATCTAAATAAATCCACAAGTCCATCAAAGTCCACAAGTGCATCACAAGTATATCACAAGTCCATCACCAAGTGAGCAACAAATGAAAAAAATACAACGTGCACTAATCTCGACCACTGCGACTGTGGTGAAGGCCCAGCTCCATCATTCAGAGGTGCATAAGGTGGATTATTCGAACCACCGTCATATGGAGACTGCACAAAGGAGAAAAGATTGCATGATTATTTAGATAGCTAATCTAGAAAGGTAGAGGCCATATAAGCAAAGCACAAGCGAAAGTAAAAAACTTTCATACTCACAGGAGTAGCTAGAGCTGCAGGACGTGGAGGCGGAGGTAGAACCAATAGCCCAGCTGGCAGAGAGAAGCCCACACGTTGCCCAAGCCCTTGTAGGAACTCCATAATGTCCGTCAGCCTCTACGCCTGCGCCTGCCGCTCGGCCTCCCGCTCGGCCTCCAGCTGGGCCGCCATCCTCTGGTGCCCAGCCTCCAGCTCCTGACGTTGCCTCATTTCCTGTTCCAGCCGAGCCTGCAATATTTCACTCTAATGTTTCAGTAATGCAAAGCTAATTAAGGTGTGTAAAGATCAATGTATGACGAGTAAACTAGGAATAACCTCGAGTGCGTCGACCCGGTGCTGTGCAGCGGTCGGCCGTGTGCGAATGGCTGAGCTCTCGCTCGTGCTCCGTGCTTAGATCTGGGAGAGAGAGGGAGTAGAGGCCGTGTCGATGATGTCGTCGCCAAGCCAGAACTGCCCATGCTTCTTGCCTTGCCCCGCCCTCATGACGGCCTCTCCATCGAAGTCCTGGGTGCTCAGATCGTGTTCTGGCCCATGGAGCGACCTCGCCACCTCAGTGTACTCACTGATGCGGGAGTGGACGCTCGGGTTCGTGTATGCCTCGGCGGGTCCTCCAGGTTGAAGGAGACGTCGGACGTCGCCTTGCCCTTGTGGGCCATACACCATGCCTAGAAGTCCGAGCAAGCCTGACCACTATGTGACGCCGACTGCGAGAAAGACAGCACGATGATTACAAATTAGGCAGAACTGAGTGTCACAATAGATAAATGAATTCGTGTACCCGTGCTTGTTTGTATCTAGTGAGGCTGCGGCTGCCTTGATGGTGTGCTGGACCTTGCATCTGCAAACGACAGTCCCGGACATCCCTGAGCATCTTGAGGTACTCCTCCGTGAACCACCTCTCCACCATCATCGCCCAGCACTCGGGATACGCTTGGCACCACCAGGGAATCATCTACACGTCATCAAGTATTGGACATATAAGAAGATCAAATTAAACCAACTTAATCTCAAAACGAATCAATATTGATGTTCTTTATTTACCTCAAGGTACTGCTCCCGGGTCAGCTGCATTTCTCTTGCGTCTTTCTTGGTTTTCCTCTCTCCAAGCTTCGACCTGTAGTAGGTTACGATGGCCTGGATGCGCACCTCGTGATGCTTGTCGGTGATGAATTTTTTACAGGCTTTGGTAGTCACCTGCTCCGCCCTGGCCTCAAATCCCTCCTCGCATCTGTAATAAGTCTGCATACAAAAGCAATGTTTCCATTCATTATTTCAAGAAAAGTCCAATGAATGCGACGTATTGAGCAACGTTGTGCGAGTGAGACTTACCCAAAACTCTGCCTTCACCCGAGCCGCCTTGTTGGGGTACTCCGCATCAAGGGCGATGGCGTAGTGGTCAAACGAGTAGGCCAGCTCCGTCTTCGATGCGTACGTGACAATGCCGGGGAAGTGTTGCCTGCACAAAAGACCCAGGATGCCGTTGACTAGCCGTGCGCTACCACCCAACACAACCACCCAGTTCCTGCACAAGTGATTAAGAAAAATTATTAGTTTTTTTTCATCATATCATATGAAGTAGTGGTGATAACATATAAAGTTACTTACTTTTGCCCTTCGGGGCGAATCACTGGGCGTTGGTGAGGAAGCGGAACCTGTGGGAGGCTCGCGGGACCTCACAAGTAGACACTCGAAGAGGAGTCAAAGGAAGCGGAACCCGTGCCTGCCGCCTCACACTCGTCGTCCTCGTGCGGCCCCTTCTCCTTGTCCGTATGCCGAACCAGCTCCTCGTCTGACTCGTCCACGGGCGCCACCTCCTCCTCGTGCAGCATGGGAGGAGACGGCCCCCTCCTACGGCTGGCGGTCCTCCTCCTCCTCCTGTCCGATCCCTCCGTCGCCCCCTCTACCTCCTCCTACAGCCGGCGTGGTCTTTGGTAAATCGAGTTCACGGACCTATGATGGTCGCCCGCCATCTTTGTTCAATCACATGCAATAAAAAAGAAAAACAAGACATAATTAGAAATAGGTGCAAAAATGAACAAAACATAATTACAAAAAATATAGTAATACATGTATTAGAAATATATGCAAAAATGAACAAAACATAATTACAAAAAATATAGTGTTACATGTATTAGAAATAATCTTCATGATTGAGATTAGCTGGATCATAGGTCTCGTCATCACTATCAACATTGTCCAACTCATCAACACTATCCGAAGGAGGAATGTTGTCTTCATTGTCATTGCCTAAACATAATCGCTCAAGCATTTGTATGTCCTTCAGATTTCGCACCTCGTCTCCAGCGTCCTCGTCATCATCCCTTTCATTTTATACTTCCATTCCTATCTCTTCGGTTAAGTCTATGTCAAACCTCCCTTGTAGCCCCTCTTCTTGATAGAACTCTCCATCATATGTGTTTGGGTTGAAGTTGTAATCTTCATCGTTTGGGACAGGTAGTTTACCGTGTGGTGATACCTTGTGCACAATAGACCAACCCTTAAGATGCTCGGCGTCTTTGCACGCGTATGACGTATAATAAACCTGGACGGCCTGTTGAGCCACAATGTAGACATCTTTTCCTGGATAGACGGAATCCTGTCGAATCTCGACTAGCCCAAGCTTAGGGGTCCATCTCGTTACTCTAGGATGAAACCAGTGGCATTTGAATATGATAGGAGTAAGAGGTTTGGAACCATAGAATGATAGTTCATAGATTTCTTCAATTCTTCCATAATAGTCGAGTCCATCAGTGCCGGGCATAACAACTCCGTTGTTTGTGATTTTTCGATTGGGCCGACTCTGCTTGTAGCTTGCTGTGTGAAAACGATATCCATTCACGTCATAACCGGTAAATGACTTGACCCTAATGGCACAGCCGTTTGCAACCTGTCTCAGCTCGTCACTTATAGGCGCATCAATTTGGGCTTTCTGTTTGAACCAACAAATGAAATCGGGGCTCTCTGGTCCCACACCCTGTGAAAGAAGGGTATCATTTTCTTGCGGGGTAGGTTGCCTTGATCCATGCCAGGATTGACAAAGAAATTCCCTGTACCAACGAGAAACAAGGGGGTTGGACGAAGAAACAAGGACATACGGTGAAATGAAACAAGTTCGTTCAGAACTTACCCAATGAACGGCTACACCTCGACAAGGTTGGTCAACACATATAGCATGATACTGTGCCACTCTTCATTTTTCAATTGCTTAGTGGTCGATGCACTTGCGCTTCCGAGTTGCCCTTGGAAAAGGCTGAGGTTCGATTCATTTTCACCAGCATTGTAACGAGGGGGTGGATTATAAACGCTAGGAAGGTTCTCAGTGTAGTATTTCTCTGTGAAGTTCGACACATCCTCTAGAATGTATGCCTCTGCAATGGAAGCCTCAATTTTGGCTTTATTTCTACATTTTTG